GGAATAAGGGGGGATCAAAAGTGGAGGAGGCAAGGACATGCACTTTGGAGAATATGTAAATCCGGAAATCGTCGGAAAGAGTGTTTCGTACGGTACGCTGTAATTTAAATTAGTAACAGGGAATTTTACTTGAGTAACTGGGAAAGAGACGCAAAAAAAAACCTGGAAACCTGGAAAAAGCAAAGCAAAAAAAAAAAAAAAATTCCACTGAAAAGCAAAATTAATAAGAAGTTAACATTTCTTGCTGTTTTGAAATGACAATTTTGACATTATTTCGAATTATTTGATGCTTTTGTATTTGTCTTTTTCACCTGAATTGTAGTAGCCAATCCATATGAAGGTTTTCTCGCTCCCAAAAAGAGGAAAAGAAGAACGGAAAAGCCGCGCTTTGTGTATCGTTGCCGCTTTCGCCAATGTTGCCATTTTTATTCATTAGCGACCTTTAGATTCTAAAACGAGGACAACTACGAGAACGACTTTTTCTCAATACCAAGTAATGCGTGTGCGTGAACCAGCATCATTTTGTGCGGGTTTTACAAATAATTCTCTCAATAGAAATAACCGTGTTACCTAAAATGAAGCTTTCCAGGTTGTCTATTTTATTGGAAATCGCGAAAAAACTTTAAGTTAAATATTGTCCTCGTAGTCTTCCACGTCCTCGAATCTAAAGGTCTCTACTCCCTTCCTATAAATTAAGATTCAAGAGGCGGCACTCACCCAGGTTGAGGAAAAATTGAATACACGCTGTAAATGGGGCTTCATGGGAAAACGCTATTATTTTTTAGGTAGCACTAGGATTATTTGCAACTTAGTTTCTGATTTATAAAATGATGAATTTTATTTTTGCCTTTTTGTCAGAGCTTTATGGAAAAGATTTGGTTGGTAAGTTCCGTTTCTGGACGTCCTTGTATGACAAAGTTTGTATAACGTTGACTGTTTGGCCGATTGAGCTTTAGATTACTGAGAAGGCACTGTTTTCAGAAATTACATAATTATCTAATCCATCAATAGAATTTTGGTTATCTTTGGTTCTTTGAGAACACTGAATGCAAATGATGGTTGTTTAGCCTTTGCAATTCTTAGAGACCACATTTTATATACCTACTGTTTTATTGTACAATTTATACATGCTACATATTTTTGATTGTGTATACATTAATTATATCGACTCTGTAAATAGTTTTAAATTTTTTGTTGTGTCCCCAATTAGTTGTGAAAACTGAATACACTGACACATTAAAAAAGCTGTTTCTTACTTACTTACTTTATTTTCTTGTCAGTGAATTGAATATAAGACAATTAAAAAACTAAAGGATGTTTGATCTTATTTTGTGTTCACAGAAAGTTACCGCGAGTACTTTACAACTCCCTATTTCGTGTTCATTCGAGACACGCTGAGCTACCTGGTACTGCTTGGTTTACACGTTGCTCTTTGCCTTGAGTCATCGACCATCCCATTCAGCGGTCTAGAGTGGGCTATTTTAGTGTTCTTCCTAGGCAGGATCTTGATGGAAAGTCGACAGTTCCTAGATGTCAAAGTACAGCAGAGGCGTCTAACTGCAA